GAAGAGGGACATACCTGTCGTCGTAAGTCGTCAAATTCCGGGTCTGACATTTTATTGGACGATTGAAGTAGGTAAAATAGTTGTTTCGCAGATATTTAGGGAGATAAAGGCAAGTTACAACAGCCTCAACACTGCTTTCAAAGCGCAAGGACGAGCAAAGTACCTATAAGACTGTGAGACCTCGATTATATGGAGAAAGTGATGTCGAACGAGATACGAGGCGGAGGACATAGGCACAACATGGGAGGGCGAAGCGATAGAGATGTACAATTGGGGCGGCGACGATAGTTGGATGACCATAATATCTCCCGAAGAAGGCCGGACGGAGAAGTAAAAGAAATGAAAAGTGACATACTTTGCAGCAAGACGTCTTCCAACAGCCAAAAGCCCCTTTTTAGAACTCAGTAAAGGCTGAGTTGTTATCGGTAACAAAAGTTTGTTACCAAGGTTGAAGGGCCAAACAACAACAACCTTACTCTCGGTAACAATAGAGTCAACAAACCCTTTTATTCGCATGTCCCGATAAGCCCCTGATAATTGTCATGTTTTAGCAGTCGTCTCTTAGGATCAGTTTAATAGTGACCAGAGCTGTCGGTAACTCATTATTTACATTCTAGTTGGGACTTAAACTACCAGACTAGCCCACTCCTTTTGTCCCGCCTGATGGTCCTACCACCGCGTACTCCAGTAACTCTTCCCTTCTCAACAGCGACTCTACCATTGACTATCACCCACTCTACCCCTTCGGATTGCTGGTTGGGCTGAGCAAAAGTTGCTTTGTCTCTCACTTTGACCGGATCCAATATGACAAAATCTGCTGCGAAACCTACTTGGATAAGACCTCGAGGGACTATCGGTCTCGTGTTGAACGATTTCCGGGGTTTAAGGGTGGTGTTGAGGACGCCGGGATTTCCTAGTGGTCGACCAGAGAGGGGTTCAAACAAGAGCCCGAGACGGGCGGCTGGTCGGGAGGTGAGGTGAGGTATCACATCCTCTAGTGTATCACCCTCTCGAAATGGAGCA